GGATATAACCTGTATGTTTTACAAAATGCATATGTTAAAAAAATCATTCAAAATGTCATGAAATCTATTTTCTTTCTATATTCCTTTTTTTTAACTTTTAATTCACCAGTTAGTTTACCATTAACAGCCAAATTCCACATTTTATTGTACCAGTCCTTCATATTTTGCAGAGTATTAAGCACAAACAGCCTCCTTAGGTTCTTTCACGCTGTTTGCACCGGGTAAAACTGGGGTGGTAAAGGGGAGACATTTCACCGAGTAGACCCAGCATGAGACAGAACAGGACCGTCAAACAGAGCCCTCAGCCAGCAAGTATTTGCGGGCATGTTGAAGCTATATGGGCTAGGTTGCCTGTCCCACAACTGCCCTCCACCAAGCTACCTGACTATCCTCAGGTCTAGTGGAAGATTCTAACTCAGTGCTTCGCAACTTTGGGTCTCCAGATTTTCTTGGACTTCAACTCCCAGAAACCCTGGCCACTGTAGCGAGGGGTGAAGGCCTCTGGGAGTTTTAGTCCAAGAATCATTATTCTAGCCCTTTTTAGGTATTGATTGTGCAGCTCAGCATTCTGGAGAGGGAGGATTGCTAACCCCACCTCTTTCAATCATTGCTTTCTTCATGCTTTCAGCATTGGCCAGAATCCAGTTGAATAACTGTGTAGACATTATGCCTGTTGGCATAAATTTCAGCAACTAATTGCCATGACTGGAGAAGTCAGTGGCCCGAATCTTGTTGCGTAGTTATCCCAGCAGAAGGGAAATGATGTAACTCAGAAGTCCCCAACCACTGGTCCGCGGCCTGTGCTAGTCCATGGCCTGAGCTGAACTGGGCCACGGAGACAGACCTCCCGTGTCCCCCTCCCTGCATGCACCCACCCTGCATAGCTGATTTGCACATGTGCGCATGCTCCAGTGCACCCCGTGCAAGTGCTGCGCTGCCATTTGCACATGTGCATGAGTGTGCATGAGCACAGTGCCGCCGTTTGTGCATGTGCACGCACTCGTTCACGAGAGAGAGAGCACTTGTTGGCGCATGCACATGAGTGTGGGGGATGCCCCGTCTTCCCCAGCTGGTCTGTGGGGTGAAAAAGGTTGGGGGACCCCTGATGTAACTCACAGAGGCAAATTGCTGCCAATTAATGAGTCTCTGCTTGGATTTCCTATTCAATGGCTTGGCACATGACCAGGAATCCAAGAGGGGACTCATTAATTAGCAGCAATTTGCCACTGCGGGTTAAGTCATTTCCCTTTTGCTGGGATAACTATGCAACAGGTTTTGGGCCCTTATCTGTATTTCTTGTTGTATGTCTTGCCACACCATTGGTATGGTGCTGATTTTCTTAGCTAGTGACGGTTTGCTGCTACGATTCACACTGATGGACCGACGGTGGCAGGCCCTCAAGTCTTAAGAGATTCTTGCCTCCATGTAGGTTCTCCATGAGATCAAAATCTGTGAGAAAGCAGCCTACACACAACATCTTCTCTTCAGATTCCACCATGAAAGTGTGAAGAAAGGAGAACCAGAGCCAGGCCAGGTGGCGCATTCTTCCTGTAAGCATGTTCACAACACAAATATCGAGTAGACCCAGCAGAGCTTCTGTCACGACATCACAGCAGGAATAAGATGCAACAGCCAATGGGGGGTGGCAAGGGGTGGCACCATCTTTAGTGATTCAGGCAAGAAAAGGGTTTCAGCCAGCCCTGGGGAGAGGATGATGTTTTGAAGATAACACAATAGGAAATTCTGAGGAGAATCTCTTCTGAGAAGTTTTGCCTCAGTTAATACCTTGGTTCAGTCATCAGTCCTAATGGGGACTACGTATAGCCAAGAAATCAGAGGAAGACTGAGATTTTGGAAGGGTAGCAAAGGAAGGAATTAGAAAAGAATCTCAAGTCTAAGGATGTGTCACAAGAGACCAGGATCATCCACACTCTTGTATTGCCAATCACTACGTGTGGATGCGAAAGCTGAAATAGCAAAGAAAGAAAACATAATTAATTCACTTAAAGTGTGGTGCTGGGGGACAGCTTTGCAGATACCCTAGACTGCCAGAAAGCCAGAGCAGGGCAGCTGAGGGGAGGACACGCTGGAGGTGGCTCATTCATGGGGTCGCCATTAGTCCGAAGAAGCAACTTGATGGCCTGTAACAACACAAGTACCAAATGAAATTGTAGGCCTAAATATATTACTTTTTACCAACAAGTAAAAAGTAATATATTTAGAGAGATAGAAAGTGCACTGTGACATTCCACCCAGTATTCCCTGTTTGTTTTCCCCAAACCAAGATTCACTCTGGTGACGTTTTCGCTCTCATCCGCAGCCACCAGTGGATATCCTTTATCCTCACTTGCACAATACTTGAATCAGACAATTATTGCCAACATAACTTGTTTATTTAGATTGAATTTGAATCACAGATGTTCCTTTTAATCGTTGTACAGAATCACTCATTAAAACTTCTTATCTTTGGTTACATGTTCAATTCTGCATTTGACTTATAGATTTATTCACTTTAACCAACTTATTAATCATATCAGTTCTCTCTAGTTCTCTATCTATCTTGACTATTCAATTTCTCTCCTCCACACTCTCATTATCTCTATCTCTTCTCCTCTTCTCTCTCCAACTGCCTAATTGACTCCACCCCTCCTCTCCTCTCATAGGCTCCTGCACTTTAGATTCAGCTATGATTGACAGGAGGGACACGGGCATTCTGTCACATGCACCAACCCATGAAAAGCTTTTGCTCAACAGCCATTCAACTGCCAATAGGGTGCCTAAACAAAAGGATCTTTGTAG